TTTGATATCGATGTTTTTTCGTTTTTAACCGACTTCCAAAAAAGGAGGAGGTTATCAGTTCGTCGGAATATTTTTTTATTTTATTTTTTATTTTATTTTTTATTTTATTTTATTTTTTTTTATGTATGTTACCGCATAACTTTGCACCACGTCAACCGATTTCAATAATTCTTTTTGCAACGGAAAGGTAGTGTCTCAGAGGTGGTCCGATACTAATCTGCTTAAGATCCGATCAGCTGATCAGGAGATATATATATATATATATATATATATATTTTTTTATATGAGAGTTGAAGTCGGTTTTTTTTTGCTAAAAATTACTTGTTTGTAATTCGTTTTTTTTTTTCGGTAAACCGAAAAGATCAGGTTTTTAATACAGTTTTTTTAGACGGTTTAAAATCTGAATAAAAAAACCGTGAGTAATCAAAAACCGATTTTTTGGAAACGGTTCCCATCCCTATTCATATATATATATACACAAAAAATAACTATAAGAACTGATTTTCCAGCTTTATAGTGCATACATTAGTTTTAAAGCATTGCCTAGTGTCAATGAGTTGCTGATAACAAAACATATATAATATTTTTTTTTTCGTTAAAATGTTATCATTTAGCTATTGTTTACAGTGTTCGTCTGGCAAAAAATTACGGGAAGAGTGGCTTATTTACTTTCACTTGAAGAAAAAGAAAAAAAAACGTTTCGCTTCCGTGTAACGCATGACTTCAATTCCCGCTGAATCATAGAAAGAAGTTAGAGGAGGAATTTTTGTAATTTCCGAAAAGTAATTTTTTTATTGTAATAATATGCAAGTTTCAAGAGGCTAAAAACTACCGTTGATTTTTTTTGCCGAAAGTGTTGCGTTTGTCTTCCATATGTTTATTTTGTATTTTAACTAAAAATTATTAAAAATAAATAAATGTGTCTAACAATATCATTTTGAAATGGAGGTGGTAATGATATAACTGGTGCTGTATATGTTTAAAACTTTTAAAAAGTTTCATATTGAATACTGTTTTCAGGACAGAAAGAAAAAAAATAAAACCCTATGAAACTATTTTTTCCATCATTCAAGTATTATAGTACTTCAAAATTCGTTCTCGAAATATTAGATTTTGTAACAAAACAAGTTACTTTTCTATTTACACTCGTAACTTGCTTCTCGAGCAATAATTTAGGCAATGATTGACCAATTTTGATTAAAAAAGTGTCGACGATACTTTGTAGAGTGAGGATTGAGCTCTTAGGTCAGCAAGTTTCCTTTGTAAGTATGTTGTGAAACTGGGACAAGTAAAAACTACGTGGAAAGCACCTTTACTGACGTTGAAGACTGGAAATGGCGGTGACTAAACGTATTCAAATCGATTCAAGTAGCTGCGGTAGACATCGTGGCCCACGAGAAACTATGTCAAATGGAAGTTCGTTTCAGTGGCTCATACAGACCGGAGACTAGAGCTTATTATCCAAGAAAGCCATAGTCCCCTATTATTTCTTGGCACTCCAACCTTAGGACACCATTTTGGTAGTTTTTTTTTTTGCAAATGTATGTGGAATGAGGCCCACAGTTCAGTTCAGCGTCGATTGTTACAACCGAGCGGCATAGCTGTCGTGATGATTGATTGTATGCCTTCTCACTGTGGAGGTTGCTGTTTCTTTAGGAAGACTGTTGCATTGAGGATACGGGACTGCGGAGATAACTCGGTTATAGGTACCTAATTCTCTCGTTCCAACAGTATATTCCTTGTCTTGGAAGCGTCAAAAAATTTGCGGTTTAGAACCGAAAGATTGTCCGCAGCTTGCTTAGCTCATTTGTAAAATCTCGAATCATCTTTAGATAAGTATTTTTATATATGTTTATCGATAACTTTGAATATACATAGTTGAGTAGAGCTGGCCACTATCGATAGTTTTTGAATACTATCTGACTCTTTTAAAGTTTTACATAGTTTAAAACTTCATCGAATATAAGTTGAGTTAATCAGACAAAGTTCATACGAATAGTCTCCACTTGTATGGAAGTCTACAGAATAATTGCACCTAAAGAACTAGGCAAACATGTTGGCAATGAGTTGGCTATCGCTAGAGATTATGTTGCGTTAATTAATAGCAGATGGAAAACCATGTTCCTTACGCTTTGAATTTACGAAAGCATAAAATGATTTAGGATTTTTTATTAAATTCTTTTTAATTTTACACAAACTTTGACTTTTAACATTTCTTATTTAATACAAAGTACACTGAGGGAAATAATGCATAGCAAAAATGAATACTTTATATTTGATTATCGTTTAAAAATGTCCGAATTTAAAAACAATATTTTCATACAAAATTTATTACGCACGTATTTGACTATTCACATCTGAGTATATATATGAGTGTACATACGCACCAGTGTTGCCAGAAAAAAATTTCGTTTGGAGCTAAAACGGCCGAAAAAAGAGCTAAAAAGAGCTAAATAATACTTGGGGTATTCACAACGGTGTCGTAACTGTCGTATTGTTGTATGACGTTAACTTTAAAATCCTAAAAATATATTACGGGGGCTCGCACAGTACCATCCGAGTCATATTATGAATGTTCGCAGTGTTAAAAAGTAGTTGGTTGTGGTTTCAGGATATCTAGACATTTAGCTAGGAGCTAAAACCCAATTTTCGGAAGCTAAATAGAAAAATAAAGAGCTAAATCTAGCTCCAAAAGCATCAAAATGGCAACACTGATACGCACCCCAAGCATGCAGAGAGCTGCTCTGAGAGCGGTGACAACACACACATTCACACATAGTACATGAGTGCGCAAATATGCCTGCCACAAATTGGCTGATATCCAGAGATGGTCAGGGTTCGAATTCCACTGCAGGCAAAACATGCAAGTTAAATATTTTTTTTTTTTTGTTTTGATTATTCACTTCACGGATGCTTTTTCAGAACGAACGCGGTCATTTTAATATGCGCGTAATTGAATTGAATTTTTGCCAATATACGGGTACTTTCGTTGACGTTTATAGTAACATCAATTACGTTTCTATTTGATTTTAGTATTTTTTTCCCTCAGTGTAGCTATGCCGCGTTCTTTTATACAGTTAAAAAAACGTGAGTTTTTATTATTCAGTTATTAAGCTTTTTAGTGAACCATAACTATGTTCGTTCTTCATGAACAATATTACAGGCAAAGGACTTGGATTTAACAATTATTTGTTCATGTTTTCTATACTTCAGGTTTCCGATATTGATGGACTTGAAGTAACCAATGCAGAAATGCTTTCTTGGTCTATTCGATTGGCGCGGCATTTCAAGAAATTGGGTTTACGACACAACAATGTCATCGGTATTGTGGCAAAGAATAGCACCTATACAAGCGCAGTTGCCGTTGGTTGTTTTATGAACTGTACACCCTTTCATGCTGTTAACGGAGGACTAGATGCAGGTGGGTGTTTTACTTTAAAGTGGAGAAAAAAAAAACATTATCGTCTAATGTAATTTTGATGCTTGCTATCTTAAATGAACTAAATAAATACATATACTACATAGTATGCATTATATATTTATATATTTAAAATTTTGATTCATATCCCTTTTCAGATACAATTCAACAGCTTTTCGAAAACACAGCACCTAAAATAATATTTTGTGATGGTGATGTGTATGAAAAAATTCATGGGGCCACTCGCTCTCTGAGACCATTGCTTTATACGCTGACAAATCATATTGATGGAGTAGCCAAAGTGGAGGACCTTCTTGTGCCAACGCCAAACGAAGATTTGTACCTGTGAGTCTCAATAATTAAATATTTTACAGCTTTATTTCATATTTTATGTGTACTTGTCTGCAGACCTGAGCCATTGATGTTGGGTGGCGCACAGACCGTAGCAATCCTCTGCTCCTCAGGCACAACGGGTGTACCCAAGTGTGTATGCCTATCAAATTATTATCTACAGTTTGAAAATATGTGAGTTTGGTAACAAAATAAATATCTAATAATAATAATAAATCTATCTCAAAACTATTTATGTATTTTCCCCCTTTGCTTAAGGTTTGTAACCAGCGAGGATGTAGTCTTTACAAACAGCAGCTTGGACTGGGTGACGGGTTTAATTTTTACTTATCTTTCCACCAGCATAAGCTGCAAGCGTGTCATTACTAATCGCCCCTACACACCCGAATATCTAGTTGATCTGGTGAAAAAATACAAGATTACTTACATCGGAATTGCACCACGTCACGTTGCCACACTTGTCGCTTGTCCCACAGCCACAGCAGAAAATCTTAGCTCAGTCAACGCCTGTCTCGTTGGTGGTGGCTGCATTAGTCTTCCGACAATGAAACGTCTGCAAAGCATACTCAAAAACTGCGCAGTTACTTTTGGTTATGGACTAACTGAGGTTGGTTTGGTGTCGATAAACTCTGGTGAACATACTCCTAGCTCTGTGGGTAAATTGTTCCCCGGCCTGAAGGTACGCATTGTTGATGAAGACGGCCAAAATTTGCCACGCAATGAAATTGGTGAGGTATATGTGAATACTGGACGTACTTGGAATGGTTACTATGGCAACCCAAGTGAGACGCAGCGTACCCAGGACTCTTCTGGTTGGTTCCATACTGGTGATTTGGGCTACTTTGACGATAACAATTTGCTGTATATAGTTGATCGCAAGAAGGATATAATTAAGTATCAGGGTATGCATTATTGGCCAGCTGAGATAGAGCAGGTTATCAATGAGTTGGCCGAGGTGGAGGACGTGTGTGTGGTGGGCGTGTATGATGAGCGGAATGGTGATGCAGCTGGTGCGGTGGTAGTGCGACGCAAGGGAGCTCAGCTAACGGAGCAACAGGTCAAAGAGCATGTGAGGAAACGCCTGCCTGTTTACTATAAACAACTGCACGCGGGCGTGGTATTCATAGAGCGTTTGCCACAGAATAGTAATGGCAAGACCTTACGAAGGGAAGCCAAAGTGTTACTTGAGGCGAAGTGAATAAACTTGTGGGTAATTTGAAGCATTTTGGGCCAAAAATAAGGAATTATTTATTGTTTTGCACGACTATTTAATCTGTAACAGATTTGGTGTGTGGAAATTTACAAATTTTAGAAAGTGGTATGCATTGTAATAATCTATAATTTAGCTTAGATTTAGTTTGTTTCTTATGTGCATACATTTGTATATCATATTATTTAAAATATGATATATAAAATAAAAATTAGTAAATATGTTTAACTTGTTGTTATTCAGGATTCTAGAGTACTTCTTGAGTTTTTTTTTGGAAATACTACCAGATATTTTCGGAATTTTTTGGAGTTTTTTGTATCTCGTTTGGACCCCTTGGTAATTTTCAGGCACATATTTAGAATGATATATACATCTTCTATACAATGGCCTCTATTTTTTGAAAACTTAAAAAATATTACAACAAAAATTACCATCTATTTTAAGCTTACAAAATTTTTGCCTTAAAATAATGAGGTTGTTAAATATTATCAATAGGTAGTGTATTTTATTGTTGTAAACTGAATAAAAATAGCAAACTGATATCCAGGCAAGCGTGAACAACCTCGTTGTGTGGAAGTAAAAAATAATTCGTCATCTAAGGGTGAAAAGGTTCCTAGTCCATTTTTTGAAATTATTCAGAAGAGACCAAATATCGATGTAGTTTCGTATTACCTGCCATTCTGCATTAAAAACTAAATTTTGAAAAAAATGGACTTGACATCTTTTCACCTTCAGATAGCGAATTGTCTTTTTCTGCTCAAAATAATATAATTCAAGTAGTTTATATAAGAAGCTGTTATTTCATGGCGGAAATACACTTGGAGTTGTTATGAAAAAACCTGTTTATTTTTTTTTATTTTATGTTATATAGTTTGAAACTGGACCCGTTTTTAGGGCCGCGGAATGGTAGTGCGCACTTCGGACCACTAAACCGCAGCGGCTGCCAATTCATAGCATTCCGTATAATATATTGGATCGCAGCCGTACGGCCGCGGCATTACATTTTATATATTTTTTCGAATTACGAATGTGGGCTTAAATTTTTTGTTCCTTTTCCTGTATTTTTGTTTACTTTTGTTTTTATTTTTAATTTTTTACCAATTACAAATTCTTGATTAACTTTTTTATTTCTTTTTATATTTTTAATTTTTCTTTGATTTTTGTTTTCATATTGATTTACCATTTACGAATTTAGACTTAGTTTTTATGTATTTTATTTGTTTTGGTTTTTCTTTATTTAATTTTTAAGTATTTTTTTAATTTCATTAAATTAAGGTGGTTGAATATACAAAAGAAAACAATTTCAAATTTCAGTAAAAAAAGCATAAAATTAAAGTGTGAATGAATCCTCATCATCTCAGAACTTATCGAGCCCTAACCGCCAAAATAACGTAAGCGACATTTTTTCAAAAATTTCTTTTTGATGCTGAAATGCATCTAGGAATATTTCTGCATCAACAAGAAAATTTTGAAAAAAATGTCGCTTACGTTATTTTGGCGGTTAGGGCTCGTTATATCAGCAACTCATAAAACTAAAAATGTAGAATTAATTATCTATAAGTAGTGATAAACACATAAAGAATCTAACCAAAATCGCTCACGCGGATACAGCGCCAGTAAAGAAAATTAATAAAATAAAAAATTTCAAAATGTGCAAAATTGCGCAAATTTATTTTAAGTACTTTCAATGCAGAATAGATTTCATGTTTTGTTTTTGTGATGTTAGATGGTACACAGGAGTAATGCTAAACGACAGAGAGCACAATTTATTTATTTCATTAATGTTCAGTTTTACATGGAATAATAAGTGTAAGTGATGAAACAAATTGTATTTTTTTTGCGTAATATTGCCTCAATGGATTTTTTATGGGGGTTTTTAGAATTTTTTACATGGAGTACCTGTTTTTATAAGAAAGTTTTTATGCGGCATTCTGAGAAACGCATGTACCGCATAAAAAAAGACCTAAGTGTATATTAGCGTGGGCCGAAAATACACTCTTTTAGTATTTTGATTGGTAATAGCAAAAGTATGGTTCATTATGCTCTAAAAACATTCTGAGTAAAAGATGACAATTTCTGGTCAATAGCTTAGGCTCGCCCAAGTCCATCGAAGTTCAATGTGCTCAAATAATAATAAGTAAGAAAGCATTTTCTCAAATTTACTAAATTTAGGAAAATAACTTTACTCATGCTAAGAAAACGACTTGCTAATTTACTTAAATTTTTAAAACAAAAACAAAACACAGCAGAAATCAAATTAGAAATTACTTTTTAAATGAAGTTTCTAATCCTGCTCACTGAGCATATGTGGCAGACGCCTAATCAATTCAATGCAAACAAAACACTTAAATGTGTATGTATAAGTAAGAGCTTGAATTATAAAAATAAGTTGTAAATTAAAGCTTAGCAATATGGGCCAGGTGGAGAAGGGCTTGGCTTCACTTGGCATATCAATTGGCGTCAGTTGGCACAGAAGAGAAACGACTGGCTTGGGCGGTTACAGCGCCAAAAAAGAAGAAGAAGAATATGTGCCATAATATTTTGAGTTAAAGCTGTTCATAATCTAAAATGTGTAATAGCTTTCTGGCTTACATTCTCTTAATATACAGACAATGCTTGCTACGCATCCTAGCACCAATTAAGCATTTCTTTGGCTTAGCACAATGGCGCAATTTCAACTTTGGCCAGTAATTTCGATTTACTATACAATAAATGCACACCCGTACTTGGGAATTACAGTCGAGGCAATTCTGAGATTTTGCAAACAATTTGCCGTGATTGGCAATTATTTGCGCTGGCTGATGAGCTCTATTTTGGTGGAAATAATACGCTAATTGAAACATTGTGGGCAATGAACTTTGCAAACAAAGTGAAAGACTTCATTGTCGTGAATGATGCATTTTTCGAGCATTTAAGTACGTCACATCATTTTCAACAAAAATGTGCCCCAAATCATTACCTTTCATTTACATAACTTTTTAATATATTGTATTTACTAGTATTTTCAATGTTTTTGTGGTGGCTATAAATTCGAAGTACCGTCGAAACTTCTCATAAAAATTCTTATCAGCTCTGGCTACGGCTTTGCTTCTCAAGTGCACACTGAGGTGCCTCTGATGTTTATGAATTTCATTAGCATAAATTTAATGACGGTAATGGCATCATCATTGTACATAGAGGCGCCAGCCACTACGCGCGCCGCTTGTGTGTGCGCTTTGGTTGCGGCTTGTATAGATTTGCAGCCGCAGATTAATGGCTAAACAGTGTTTATCTATTCATGCTTATTTATTTATGTTTGCGCAAGTAGCATAATTAACTAAATTACATGGATTACAATGCATTACTTAATTTGAAATATGTGCCAGCCTAAATTTGAAGTGAAGTGAAAAGGCCGTCGGAGAAAATTACATTGAGAGTGAGTGTAAGAAAAGTGTCTAAGCAAAATTAAAAGAAGGTTTATCAGAGCAATATTTGAAATTTAATAGGACTTGCTTTAGCAAATTGAAGCAACAGGCGGAATAATCAATGTAGCGACAGTTGTGATTATTCATCAGGTTTTAAAAATTTTTTTTTAATATATGTACAGTGCCGAACAGAAGTATTGGCACAGTGAATTTTTCGCAATATATGCAAAGTTCTTTATTCTAATTTATTTTCGATAATTTTTTATAAAAATATTGTCAATTTTACACCAGAAAACATAATAATAAAATCTCTAAACTTTGTGCAAAACTCAGGAAAATTCATTAAATTTGCCCACTTATTTGCAACTTTTTATTCAGATTTTTTAGAAAAATTCTAAGTATGCAGTTTTATAGCCCATTTAAATTTAATATAACAAAGTGAAAGTTTGAAGTCGCTAGAAAATCGCATTGATTTTTGGTAATGTTTTTTCACGCAAGTTCCTCCATACAAAGTAATTCGACAATTATTTTTTGTATGGAGAAAATGAGCAACACCTTCCACTAAAAACATTGCCAAAAATCAACGCGATTATCGAAAATAAATTAGAATAAAAAACTTTTCTTATATGGCGAAAAATTCACTGTGCCAATATTTTTGTTCGTCACTGTATGTACTTAAAAAGTAATGCAGATCATAAAACATTTTTGCCAAGGGGGAAGTGTGGAAAGCCTAACCCCAGAACTGTCAGTGTGAAACTTTAACCCAAACCAAAACCTCCTTCTGTTATGTACCGTTCCGACTCGGTACACTGAGGGAAATAATGCATAGTAAAAATGAATACTTTATATTTGATTATCGTTTAAAAATGTTCACATTTAAAAATAATATTTCTATACGAAATTTATTACATCTGAGTATATATATGAGTGTACATACGCACCCCAAGCATGCAGAGCGCCGCTCTGAGAGCGGTGACAACACACACATTCATACATCGTACATGTTTATCCGTACAAATCGCGTGCTGTGGTGTTGATGGATATTCAACATTTGAAATCAAATTTATATGCCTGGGTGTAGCTGAGTGCGCAAAGATGCATGCCACAATTTGTTGATATCCAGATATATCCAGAGATGTTCAGGGTTCGAATTCCACTGCAGGCAAAATGCAAGTTAAATATTTTTTTTTTTAGTTTTTGTCTTGATTATTCACTTCACGGATGCTTTTTCAGAACGAACGCGGTCATTTTAATATGCCCATAATTGATTTGAATATTTACCAATATACGAGTACTTTCGTTGACGTTTATAGTAAGACCAATTACGTTTCTATTTGATCTTAGTATTTTTTCCCTCAGTGTACTACCGTCAAGATTTTAATGCTGAAAAACTTGCTAAATAGTTTCCTAAAACCTAGTCATCAATAATCAAACAGGGATCAGCTTCTTATTTTGATTACATATCAAAATTTCATCGATGTTACAACCAGTAAGCTTTCTTTCAAATGAAAATATGGTTGTAAAACTACCAGATTGCCAGCAACAGCTGACATATTGCAGCCAATGAGAAATAGGCGTTCTCCATTGGAAATATATTTTGTGACATGGTTATCACGACACAAGAGTTTTCCTGTAGAGACACGGCCTAACACGTCGCGTTAAGCCATTTCCGGATGGAGAAAAGTCTCGCTTGCTTCGGTTTTTCTAATTTAAAATCCCC